CCCCTGCTCAGGGCCAAGATTCAGCCTCACTTTGACCTTAGCACTGGCTTCTAGTTCACCTTGACTCTGACTTTGGACTCCTGGCTCCCTGGAAACCTGACATACAGACAAAATCCCAGGGTCAGGTGACCTTCCCTGACCACCTACTCCCTAGTTCCTAATGCTTTGCAGAAAGTCACCAATGATCCATCCCTTGCATCCTCCCTGTCACTTTGAGTAGATTGTACCTGTGACAGATGTGTTCTATAGCTCCTGATAGACCCATCCTCCTTAAATTAGTCTGGCCCATTTCTTAATCCAGCTATACAGTTGTCATTGAGTTCCATGGTTAGGGACAGACACTCAAAAAGCCTGAGCCTGAATTGATTCAATCTTTGCAAGTTAGTCTAACCTGAGAAGCTTGAATTGATTTGGAGGTGGATAGACATTCCCTTTTCATTCCAGAAATGCAGACACATGCCTGCAATGGCTCAGGCTAGTGGGGGGGGGGGGCGGCTAGAATAGCCCTCCCTTCCATTCTACAGTACTGAGCTGAGGGGGGGCATGGCCAGGTCTCAGCAGGATGCTCTGATTAGCCCAGCAGGGAATTGATAACAGTGCTTATCACCTCTAATTAGTGTTTATCACCAGGGCCGGCTCACAATTTTTGGGGCCCCCTGCAAGAAATAGCTTTGGGGTCCCCTGCCCCAAAGAAGCTGATTGGGCAGGGAGGGTGGCGAGCGGCTGGACATGAAGCTGGAGGCAGCGGCTGCAGCAGTGGGGGCGGGGGGTGGCAAGCAGCTGGACACAGGGGGCCCTTTAACTGCAGGGCCCCCTGTGGCCACAGGTTTCTCAGGGTAGGACAGGCCAGCTCTGTTTATCACCCCATTAAGAAAACAACAGAGGGACAATACCAGCTACCTATTGATTCTGACCATAGCAGCATGTGGTCTGCTAGCTAATACACAGATACCTCCCAGCAAGGCAGAGGGAAGGGGGGAACTCCTGCTTAGCAGAGAGTGGTGAGGGGGAGTCAGGGGGAGCAGCCTGCAAGTCTCTGCCGGAGCTGCAGCCAGGGAGCAGAGGGGAGGTGCCAGCCCTCCTGTGGAGCAGAGAGCCCCACCCAGCCCAGAGAGCGTGCTGGGATGCTGGGGGAGTCTGATTTATCTTAAACCAGCAAGGGGTCTGGGACAGACTTTGCTTAAGCTGGTTTGACCCAAATCAGTTAAGTCTGATACTACATTCAACCACTTTTATCTCAAACTGGTTTCAGCCACTTTCAAACTGGTTTATGTGCACTGAACATCTGTTCTGTTACAGGTTTAAACCAGTCTCTGATCACTTATGTGTCATATCTGTCCCTAGCTCATGTGTTAATTATGTGGCATCTAAAAGAATACTTCCTT